CACCTCGGCCCTGGTGCTTGCGGCCCATGCTGTAGCGGGGATGCGGGGAGGATTCGCGCGCGGACGCACTGGGCACCTGGTACTTGGTGGGGCCGGGGACATCCAGGTCGGTCACGATGGGGGGCCGCCGCTCCAGCACTGGCCAAGGGAAGCAAGCTCGGGGCCCGGTTCCTCCCAGCAGGCCCCTTCCCCACCCGAGACCAGCTGGGGGGGGCGGGGAGCCAGGACCCTCACTCACGCAGATCCCTCAGGGTCTGAGTGTAGGTAGGTGAGAACTCCTGGGTGGTGCCCCTGTGTATCCGGAGGCCAGCTGGGACTTCCTTCGTCTTTGAGGACCATATTTCATCCCAGGCCGTCCCCTGCTCTGGGCCTGACAGCGCCACTGCAGCACTGGGCCTGCAGGGAGCCGGTCAGCCACTGTCCACCCAGCCCGCCGGCCACCCCCACCATGCTGGCCCCCAGCCTTCCCACCACCCTCTGAAGTTACTGGGTGGACTCTAGTGGCTTCTGCCTTAGGGGTCCATGGGTCCAGTGTTTGCCTCCATTGATGTAAAAATTTGCCAGGAATTTCACCGCCTTCTGGTCAAAATTCATTTTCAGAGACTCAGGGCTCTCTTCCCCAAGGGCACTTCTGGGGGAGTTCTGTGACCTCACTAGTGGGGTCCTCTGTTGCCAGGGGCTCCCTGGGAAGAAGCATTGTTCAGTCCTGGGGGGGCCTGCCTGAGTGGCTCCCCAGCCCCAGCAGCCTCTCCCCTACCTGCTCTTGGCCAAAGTCTCCTCTACTCCCTTCCCCACTTTCTTTCCCAACCCCTTGCCCTCTCCTGCACTCCGGGGTCTCCTGGGAGAGTGGGGTACACTTCAGTGGGGCTTCTGGGAGAACTGAGGCCCCAGCAGAGGGTGGAGAAGGGAGCAGAACTTGTATTTGCCAAGTCCTACCAGATGCCCAGCTGTGTGGGGCCAGCCAGAAAGACTCTTGGGGGTAGGATGGAGGGAGGAGTCCATGAAGGCTCCCTAGAGGACAAGGAGCAGCTGCCCCACCCAGAAACCCACTTGTGGGAAAAGTGTAGCAACATCATTGGATGAGTCTGAGGGGGCCAAGAGGATGCCAGAGGCAGGCTAACCCAAGCAGGGCTGGGTCAGAGAAGCTGTCTTCTGCCTGGGGGCACAGATGGACCCAGCTGGACCCAGCTGCCCAGCCAAGCTGCAAAGGAGTAATGAGCCTGAACGAGCACAAGCCTATCTGGAGTTGACCTTGGCCAAATCTGAGGCAGGACCTGGTCAAGAATGTCTTGTCCACGGAGCCTTCTCTGGGGCTTCCTCCGCCCTGACCAAGCCTGTCCCCGCAGTCCTCCCCACTGACCCGCCTGGCCCTGAATGGACGTGTGCTTGAGGAAACACTGTTTTATTTGGGTGAGGGGTCCACAAACTGTGCTCCAGGGCCCCCTCCCAGCTGAACACCAGGCCATTTCCTTAGGACAGATTCCTAAGAGTGGCAGCAATGGGCCGAAGTGTGCAGTGTCTTGTGTGGACTTGATCTGTGACCAGATTGCTTTCCAGAGGCGTCTCCCAAATTAGAGGCTATTCTATGACCCTGTCAGCAATGAGCCTTAGAAACTGCAATTATCAGCATTTATTTGACTAAGGTTCAACTTAATATCCATATGTTTATTGACTATGGTCTTTTTAAAATACTGTTCATGTTGTATATGCATTTTCTACTGGGGTGTCAACTTTTCATATTTTTGTTTTGTAAGAACTTTTTGTGCGGATATGTCTGTTCCTAACTCTTGTTGCAAACTTTTTTTTTCCAGTTTTTGGTTTGCTTTTTAGTATTTGACATGTAGTTGAAC